CTTCGCCGTGAAATAATTTACTGAATTTATTTATACATTTTTCTTTCTTTTATCAGTTCACGTTTCTTTAGATTGCGTACCTATATTAAATCAATAAGTAAACGGTTTTTATTTGTAACAACTACTGCATCTTTAGTGTCTTCAAATTATAATAAATCGTACGCTAAGATCAGAACACACGGTACCGACGTGCAAAACAGTATACCGTACATACGCACTGTGTAATTAGAAACCTCGGATTTCTAATACACCTACTCGATAATGATATTATTATCATAAGTAATATGCATTCTGTAATCGATAAAGCGAATGCGTTATAATTTATTGATTAGCAATCAGTGGCTATATCCTTATCTGTTCGAATAACGCATTTCTAAAAGGAACAGTGTGAATTAACTGTCTCATGATCCGCGATACTGTTCACGCGAGTATGTTAATTACGAAGTCGACTATTAGAAAGTCGTTGGTTTTCTTGACGTCTCACTTTCATCGAAATAATCTCGATGAAAGTGTAAGTAGCCTCCTTTATCTTTGCCGCGATCGACGCAAATCCGAGTCCTGCTCGAACTTCACTTTGTGTCGTGCACGTACCAGACGTGTGTTGGATATTTAACCGGTTGACATCCGGCGGAAACTGGAGTTCCTGGGTTCGTAACTTACGACCAGGCCTCATTTTAGAGTCTACGTGTTTTATTTAGTGAAACTCGGACAATATGTTCAATATTGCGCGATGAAAATTAATCACGTTTTCGTACAGATTTGCACTCGGAGAATTTTCTTGGATCACCTATTAAATTCTCGAACGTATTTAACCGTGAGATAGTAAGCAACGTTTTTGGGAAGTGTGTGCTAATTGTCGGGTCATCTATTGCCAATACAGAACACCTGTATAGTGGATGGGCCATGGTTGCTTTGGTCTATGACTCTACACATGCCGCGTTAAGGCTCTTCGTATTGGGTTGGCAACTAAGTAATTGCCGATTTCAGTTATAGATGTCTCTCACTCCCATTTTTATGATATCCGTAAATGTTATATTATAAAATTATTATTATTAT